AAATAGCTTGGGAATTTGTTCTTTGGCACTTAACTGAATACATCACCCTTAATCTGGCATGTGAATGAATATCTAAACACATTCTATGACTTAATTTGAGCACTCTCAACAACTATTTCTGCTTCATTGATTCTAAGAAATTTTCGTCCTTTGAAGCATTCTAATGGGGGTTTTATAACATACAAAAAAGGTAGCCATAAAATTATATGCTTCTCTTAAGATAAGAATAAGAGATAAAAGATTTCTGTGAAAGAATGATTTGAGCCCCAAACTCTCCTGCCTGTTCAAAAAGGACATCGACAAAATTGGCACTTATCACCAGAAGAAAAGATTATTCCAATTTCTTTTGGTGGTAAAACTCTGACCCTAAAGCCATGCAGTGCTAAATAGAAGCCTATTTCTGTCCCTTTTATCCACAGATTTCAAAGCGCAAGTGAGAGGAGGGTGATATTTTCAGTCTTTTCTAGCTTAGGATGGAGGGAGAAGTCAGAAGATGTAAGTGTCTTGTTTATTATTAGGCATAAAGGTGGAGGATGAAAGAGCACTACTGGTCTGATTCACTCTGTGCTTTTCTTATAAAATGGCCAAATCAGCCCCCTGGGACTGACGGGATTTACCCAGGCTGCAGTAAGCGTGGCCATGACCTCTGTGGTGTTCATGAATGAGATTGTAAGGCCAGGAGTTGGCTCCATAAAAACTTGAAACATTTAATGAGTAGGAAGGTCACGTTCCTCAGAAGGATCACCCATGAACTCTTTACTCCATTTCCCCATTGTTTCCTGAAGTGTGTGATATCACGCAGAATTTCTGCATAAAGATGATGACCTGTATTTTCAGGAATGCCACTGAGTACACTGTGCGTATGTTTTCCTCAAAGCACTAGGCACTGATGCGGTGGAAAACGGCCGTTTCTTGTCAAGGTCAATACTGGACAGTGAGTCATGCAGAGACGGTTTCTGTGTATATAAGAGGCTTGGGACAGGTTCTTTACCATCGTCAAAGCCAGTGTGCAGGCTTATTAAATGCAAGGCATAATCCAGTGCTCTGACACCTTCCAAGGGAAACCTGCAGCATCTGCAAAATTCTCTGTGGCCCTGAGGAAGATGTTGGCTGCTCTTTGCCCAGCTGTCTACCATTCTCCACAGAGAACGGTAGATAGTGACCAGCTGGGTAAAATCATTTCTGGAAAAAGACCCCATTTTCACAGAAAACTGTCGATATTTATGAACCGGTTCTGATGAAGTCATTAGAAACTCCTTAAATCCACAGCATAGAAGTTTCTCCCACGTTGGTTTGAATTTCTGACTTACCCTGGGCCACCTCAGCTGCACAATTTTAGATAACAATGGAATCTAGTGCCATAAGTAAAACAGCTCCCTTATGATGTTAGTTACAATGATGACTGTCAAAAAATATTGGCATTCACTACAGGTAGAATGTCTCATTCAGAAAGTCCTAGGTTTCTTCCAACCCCAGCCTACCAAAATCTGCGTTAAATTCTCATGTTTGTGCTCAGAGCTGTGCATGTCGTCTGGAGATCTGACCTCTTCATCAGCCCTCAGGACCATCTCTAAGGGGCAGGAAAGTACCGCCACCTCCCTGTCACATGGCTTTGGTATCTGCAGAGACTACAACTCTGGACGGGGGTGGGGGGGTGGGGGGGGTGGCCTGGCTGGGCACAGTGACAATATGGATATAAATCCAGGAGACGCTGGGTAGTAAGGGGAAATCCTCAGGAAATGATGGCAGCGCCAACACTGCGATGCCAGATGCAGGAACTTGAAGGGAAGAGGACAGTCATCTTTTTAATGAAGACCAGCTTACTGAAATTGATTTTGGATGACTCTGCACCAAGTTTGTCAAATGCAGCAAAATCTGAATTGCTTCTGAGAGGCAGACAATTTGCTCTTGGTATTATTGATGTTTTCTTCATATTCAGAACTTTTATTTTAATCCAAAGCAGTTTATCCCAAGAAAAACAAGGGCAGGGACAATGCTTTGTCTATTTTAGAGAAAATGAAATGAAGTCAGAGAACGATCTATTAAAGATCTATTAAAAATTTTTTTTGCTGTTTGGAGGACACACCTCCCTGGATGAGAGGAGCCCCTTACTTTAAATAAGATACCTCACAAATGGTCGATGACAATATTATGGACTTCCATAATGTTTACCTAAGGGTCTCTTCCAGAAAAACAAAAGCTTAACCCCTTGTTTATGACAAATTGTTCTCTTGTATCTGGATTAGAAAAGCAGGTTGCACATGCAACTCTTAGTCACCCAGAACCCCAGACTCCTAAGGATTTATATAGATCGCAGGGCTCTTGGAAGTATCAAGTCCTGATTACCGGCTAGAGTTGAGCTTAAAGTACTTTACGAAGTTCAGATTTTCTCATCTTTCTTTTTCAATTGAGGAGAATACTAAGATGTTACTATCAGAGAAGCAATAAATTCTAGAAGGTCAGTGATCTGGCAGCAGACAAGGATTCATTCCATCTCTGCCACTTACCAGCTATGTCACCTGGGTACTTAACTTCTCAGAGCCCAGGCTTTATTTTTCTAAAGTAGAGATACTGGTATCAGCCGCCTCAGGAAGCTGATATCAATAATAATAATAATACTTGATATTTGTTGACCATGTACAATACAAAACACTTTCTAAGATTTTTTTTGTGTGTTTTTATTTTTGCTTTTTTGTTGTTTTTTAATGATCATCTCATTTAATGTTCACAATATCTCACTGACTTTGGTGCTAGTACATTCATTTCATACGGATGAGGAAACAGGCTTAGGGATATCATGCTCATGTTTAAGCCAGAATTCCTCTGACTTCAGGGCCTGATGTGAACCACATACAGTATGAATTAATTGATATAATAAATTTAATATTCTTAGCATAGTGGCTGACATACAACAAAAGTTTTGATATAAAGAATGTTAAAGTAGTATTGATGAGAATAATAGTATTTTAAAAAATATTAGGACCCGTTACATGTTTAGAGTGAAAGATGCCACTTTGTTAATCAGCAGTTAAATTCTTTGCGGGAAAAAGCTGAGATGCACTTATTTTTGTAGCCTCAGACTCCAGTACAGCATGCCTGGCTTGCAGAGGTGCTCTATGAATATCTGCTGATGAAATGAAGACTGAATTTGGAATTAACAGTATTGCAGAGAAAACCTGACTGAAGATACTTTCAACTGGTCTAAGCAAAACCAAATCTAGAACAGATACTAATGTCCCCTGTAGCCTTTCATATTCTTTATTATTGGCAAGACTTCATTAGCCTGGTATCTTAAGGCAACACAGAATACAAAGAATTTGTGTTGTATTTTTGTCCTTATCAAAGAGTATTTATTGAGAAATAATCTCCTTCCCAAATTGTGATGAAGACACAAACAGAAAATTAAGGGCTGCTCCCCCTTAATCAAGTCAAAACAGGATGCTATATTGTCTTAAGAAAGCTGTTAGGTACTTGGTTTGGGGTAGAAATTAAAGGTTAAGAAATTCATTTCTATGTATTTTTTTAAATTTCTAACTCAATATCAATTCATAAAACTAAATTTTATAAATTGATATTTAAATTAATTTTTAAATTTAAAATTAACTTAAAATTATAACTCAATGTCAATAAATAAAAAATAATGATTTCCTCAGCATATTTTGGTTTATGATACAGTCTTTTAGAAAATTTCAGTCTTATGTACCATTCATAAAATTACTTAATCTTAGCAAGTTTACTAAAATCCCTAATGAGAAAACATGGGTGCAAAAAGTTTCATGTTTAGCTCAAAATCACGCAATGAATAAAGGGCAGAACCATTTCAGGGACATGTCCAGGCATCTGAAAGGAAATGTGGTCTGGGAATGATGATATTTGAATAAGACACGAGAACAGACAAGCTTTAGCCCAGTTCCAATATTTAGAGCTTAGTGGCATTACATAATCACACACGTCTGAGTATCCTTTATAATTTTAAACCATTTTTTTTCTAAAGGGCAAATTTTCTTAAGATTGCTCCTATTTTTAAATTAAAAACTAAGAAAGAGATGGAGAAAGGAAGAAGATAAAAGTTAATTATAATTGTGCTACTTAACATAATTGATCATTTTAAGCAAATCAACAAATATTTCTAGAAAATTACTATTGGGTTGTCGAAAAAATCATGACGCATTTTTGCAATGAAAAACATAGAAAAACATGTCATGACTTTTCCAACAACCCAATATAATTATGTTTAATAAAACATAGATATTTGGAAAAGAATGTTGTGGCAAATGGACTGCAGCTAAAATCCTGAATATAGTCCAGTCAGTATTTCACACGTAACTGTCAAGCTTTCAACTGGAGCTAAGCCATTGTAATCTAGAGTGAATGGATGCTGACTTGAGCTCATCCAACCTTCTCTGTGGCTGTTTTCAAAGCTGAGGTAATAAGCACCTTAGCTCACAAGGATCTAATCGTTATACACTCAAGGACTGTCTCTGGAACTATCAGTTTGGTGACAGGGCAGGTCTCCTAAAGAGGAAATCATGAGCAGTAATTACCTCGGCATGTAAAGGACTCTCTCGGCCACCACAAAACCCACCCTGAAGAAGAGATTGCTGGCTGGAATGAACGGGAAGACCAGGAACAACAAGCCCACTAAAACTTCCTTGTGCTCCAGTCTCTGAAACACACAATAGTGAAGGACAGATTAATTTTGGTTTAATTGGCTTCAGTCAGCATTTAACCATCTCCTTCAGTTTTCAAGTTCTTACTGAAGGAAAAAATAGTTTAGACCAATAAAAACCTTTTGATCAGTGTGCTGAATTCATCAGAGAAAGCTGTCAGGCTCAAACCTCTGGCATGTCAAAATAGTCACACATACCCAACACATATTTGCCACCCAGAAACATCTGATATTTGCATAATACGATCAGCGACCATTACTCTTTGTTCTGGGCTGGCCGTACAGCAACCTGGTTTCTTGGTGCTGGCGCCTTTCAGAATCCCTGTCACCCTAGGCGACTCATTTTCAGGGAGCAAAGCAACTGATGGACTCAAGCTCACTAAGGCATCATGGAGGATTACTGTCCTCTCAGAAATGGAATGCATAAACACACACACACCACCACCACCACCACCAGGAGAAGCAGATCTTAGCATAAAGGAAATTAAATGCAAATGGTAAAATTTAGGGCATCAACAAGGGAAATCATTTGAGCTGAGGAGCTTTTAACACCTTTCAAATTAAGCCAGTAAGCAAGTGTTTATTCCATGAATTTTTTTGGAATCAAAATTAATTACAATAATACTCATTAAATTGACAAAGCACCTTTCTGTAATATTGCATATATTAATTTGTAAAGATATTTCTGTCATTGAGAGTTCACAGAAAAAAAAATCCTGTTTACTACTAATATGTTGTAATGGACACTGTAAAGAGTAGTTTGTATTTCCATGAGTGTACATAATATGAACAAATTTGAAAAGAGGCATATTTAAAACAAACCCTAATGTTCTGGGATGGTGTTTTCTTTCTTTTTTTTAAGTTTAAGAAAACCAAGTAGAACTTTCCATATTACACTTTTAAATGTTTCTTATGAACATTTTAAATAGTCTAATACTTTTAATAATTGTAAAAGACAAACAAATTTCAAAAATATAAATAAGACTCCCTAATACTCTACTAGTACTTTAAGTATACAAAATAAAATATTTTAAATACCTTGGGATATTTGTCACATGGATTTTAATAAAATCTTTGTTTTTGTGACAACAACATATACAGTAATAAAATTTCTGAGAGCAATTTGATATGAACAAATGTGATTTGGACAATTTCCCTTAAATAGTTACTGGTCTGTAAGCAATGATATCATTTTTTTATGTAAAGGAACCATATACTTTAGAATGAAAAGATGAAAGAAAAAGAAAAGTTTTCATAACAAGCTTTCAACTCCAATGAATGCAATAATGTTGCATTTTCTATGAATAAATCAATAAGTGAATAACTATACCAAGCAAGAGAAAAAACTGGGTGTGAGAAAGGGAACAGGGTAGAGAGGTCTTTCTGGTAGAGGTGACAACCTGGATTTGAAAAATGAATGAATGCTTTACAAGGCAAGTTTGGTGGTGGTGTTAGGGGAAGGTGGTCACAGCAAGGCAAATTCCAGAATGTAAAAAGCAGTTAATAAAACTATACATGTTGGCAGGTAACAAATCATGAAGGTCTTATATACTCCGTGTGGAGTTGACTTTCATCTAAGAGGCAACAGGGAGCTACTAAAGGGTCCCACACGTACAGAAGAAAGAAAAGCCAGTTCAGTGTCCAGGAGTTGATATCTAGATTTAAGTTGTGGCCCAGCCACCGATACATCATTAGTCACCTTGAGCGGGCCCCTAATTAGCCCTTCCATGCCTCAACTACAAAGTGAGACAAGTGAGACTCGGGGCTCAGTGGGGCTGGATCATCAAAGATTTCATGATCAGTGGAAGTCCATGCTATTGTAGTTGTGGGCTTAGAGGGCACCACTGCTCCCAGAGAGGCAAGCCTTAGTGTGCTTTTCTTTGTTTTCAAGATGTTCAATTGAGGGCAGTGGCACCGCGCCCAGACTCAATGAAGTTTTGTTATTGTATTTTGAGAAAAACAATATTCATTAAAAAATTAATTCTCAAATTAAGTTGATTATATCCTTTGCCTTCCCTCCTCCCCATTCAGTCAAGAGAGATAGAAAATATTCAAAAACATATTTCTCTAAGCTGTGAGTTGATCAGCCAAGCAGAAAGTTAGGAAAAAAATATGTCACGGACGTGACTAAATTTCCTAGAATGAGAAAGACTGGGAGGGAATCCAAGTTTGTATCCTGTGGATCACAGATGTGACACAAATTGCCTCTATAATTTATAGCTTATTTCAGCCTAATAGAGTCAAATGAAATGCCAACAAAATACGAGTGAGGGGGAAAAAGAAAATTCATGGCATTTTCCAAAGTACACAAAGTACATTTATTTCTAGGGAAAGAAGCAAATGGAAATTTACTTATTCCAAATTACACTGGGGGGGGGTGAAAAGACATGAGAATTAAAAGAGCTCACAACACGGCCATTGATAATACATGTTATTTGTCTGATTAACTGTGTGACTTCAATTAATTTACTTTTCTGAGCTTTAATTTGATGATCAGTTAAACAAAAGAAAGGGTATTGATACCTATTATATCTGTAGGAAAAATGTGTGAGAGATTCACTATAATAGGTGTTAGGTTTGATTTTCTTTCTGGCTTAGAAGGATACAAAGAAGCAGCCCCCTAGGATGCGAAGAGGTAAAAATCTTTTAACACCCCTCTTAGGGTGCCCAGACAGTCGCTCAGCCATTAGGGGCACAGCTACGTGTCTGACCAAGCAGCTAATGGTTTTCTCACAGCCAGCAATTACCTCTGAGGAAATCCAGCTCCAGAATTCAAGTCTAGCTTGGTAGCTTGTGGTTTATCCCCTCCCATTCTTACTCCCAGTTCACCTTTCAAAGCACTGGTCACACACAAATGAGGACACACACACACACACACACACACACACACACACACACACA